CTATATTGCACGTATAGCTATACAAACTATATAGCTCTTGTATAGAGAATATATTATTTGTCAATACATGTATAAATATAAATTATCATTACGATTACGTTTTATATTTAGACTATTACAAGAATTAATAATTCAGGTGCGTAGAAGGCATTGAATTTTTTTTCTTATATACGTTAGTGGCAAATATTTAAATTACTCATTTCTCCTTGAAGCTGAGTGTGTTCAAACACAAGGAAATAAAATTATTTCTCGCAGAAAGACTTTGCTATAAAAATATTTAAGAAATGCCTTGGTCTAAGAAAATTATAAAGACTTGTTCTCACAGGAAGACTAAAAACAATTCAATGAATTCTGAACATCAGAATGTTGCTCCTTGTTAGAACACTTTCATGAAATATACCATGTGGAATCTATATTATTAAAAGATACCTAACATTAAGAAGGCTTACCCATTTGTTACAAGTTACTTTCATTATTGCAACATCTTATTTAGTATTGGTACCAAGGCTGACGTCGCACCCAACGCAGTTTCATACCGGAAGCTGTGCGTATCTTTATGCTGGCACACTCTGCAGCGCGAACGGTTTCCTTTACGCTCTGCATGAGATTTTGGGCATTGCCAACAAGCATGTCGGTAGCTTCTTGATCTTCTTCTGTACCTGTATTTTGAAAACAAAAATGAACATTGAACTCACTATTTGTAACTTGGAAACAAAAATGAAAAGGAATGTTTATAAAATGTGAAAGTATTCATCTCATTCTATAATTTAACTCAGTGGATTAATCAAAATCATTATACAATTAAATAAATCAAAGTAAGGTAGACAATCTTGAGAAAATTGGAACAACAGAAGTTGTACAAATGAATATAGTTGCAAAACTGTACCAAAGGGTGTGAAATGTGTAATCAATTACTTACAGGGGTAACTACTGTAGTGTATTGCATGCAATACATGAGTGCTAGCAGTTTTTAAATGTACGTGTGTACAGGGAATGTGTTTGAAAAACATATTCTGTTTAGTTTAAACCAGAAAACAATGTGTGTTTCGATTAAGAGAATCATGCAAAGGGGGCAAATCCAAAATATGGACACTAAAACTGATCAAAAATCGTATAAATTGTAGCCTCGATAATGATAGTGTGTATCAGATGACTCGTTATAAACTAATTCAATGATACATGGAACATATTATAGATGAAATATCATTTACAAATACGATAAATTACTTCTTACGTATACACAACGTTAATGTTCACGTATTATCTATTATATCATCAACCATCTGGTCTATGCTAGCTTATACTTATCACATAATAAACTTACTGCAGCCAATCAATTCGTCTAGACCATGACGAGTAGAGGCACATCAACCGAAAACCATTTAAAGTTTAAATAAAATGTAAATAAACATTTTTTCTTTGATGTTCAAAATATATTAACTTTTCATACTGTTTCGAAGAATACTTTAAAAGTAATAGAATAAATGTTACTCGTGGAATTGTTTGTCGACTCTCAATAAGGGAGACAAAGATGTGCATGCATTGTAATGCAAGTGCAAGACTCGCGGAATGTGTAGTCGAAAAATGAAACAAAATAAATACTAAAAAGAATGATAAAGACATCAAGCATATTCATCAACTTTTTTACCGTAAAGCATCAACTCTTCCCAGGTGGGGAGCGTCTCTATATACGAAAAATGTAGTTAATAATTGTTCGTTGGATCAATTTAAAGCTATACTCCCCAACGTCCGTTAATTTTTATTAAATAATCTTTTAGTGCGTAAAGTATGTATTGCAGCAAAGAAAAAATGAATTTTTAATTTATCATGAAATTTATATACTGTACCTTGTGCACCCAACATTGTAGCTTTTACCGTTGACAATATCTTCAACTGTGTGCCTATAGTAGGTATACGTTCGCAAACTTGAAGAAGGTTCTAGAAAATAATTGTAAAAATTCCGAGTTAACAACGTGCAAAGGTATTGGAGGATATTATTAAAAGATGTATACTTACTGTTCGAATACGTTTGTCGGTACATTCTCTGGCTAGTTCTTTGGCCAGACGAGTCACTTCTTGAGAAGCTTCTGCGATAGCTTTTGCACAAGCAATCAGATCTCTCTTGTTGCCACCTTCACCTCTGACTAAACCAGATAGTCTGCCCATTAGAATAGCCATCTTCTTCGCAGCAGCAATAATCTCGTTATCTTTGCTCGACCATTGTCGTACTTCTTGATGCAAGCCATGGGCAGCCATCTGAAATAGAACCAGTCGATTTTTTCATTTTATTTCTTCGTTCAAACTTGAGAAGCAAGTTTAACGTACCATTATGGGCTGGTTAGGTTGTGGTGCGTGCATAAACATTTCATCCTCATCATCAGTTTCTGGTGGCGGAGGTCTTGGAGGTGGTATATCTCCACCTGGTAATGGTGGACGTGGTGGTGCAACTTCTGTGTGAAAAATAAACATTGTTTATAACCACTGTTTAATCAAATATACATCTACGGCCAAAAAGTAAAGTTCCTTTGAAGACAAACATTATTCTTTACACAATACAGTTCGACATACCATTACATCGAAGAGAAATGCAAGGATTTTATAATTACCATCATCATTATCATAGTCATAGTAATAGCCTATCATTCCACGCAGCATTAAAGATGCAAACACATTGTTAGGACACATCGGTACAGAATGTACTTTAATATACATGCAATGAAAACATATCACACGCATAATACCTGGTATATTAATAAGGAATGAATAATTTTGTTAAATTATCCAAAACAAACAGCTTCAAATACATGGGTACATTAACATGAGAGACGAAAATTTAATGTTCACGTATCGTTTACGCAAATACTATGATAAAACGAAATACAAAATGGTCTGTGAGTTGCCCAAGATGAATTGAACTGGCGCGTTATTTTAACAATAACAGTTTAACAATAAATATTTATTTTTTTGGAGTTTTACTCTTTCAATCTGATACGATAAGAAATAGTGACCAAACTATGTAAATAATTTTGTTTTAATCTAAACATGCTTTTTCCCCATAGAATGAAATTTTACATATTGAACACTTGCTATTTTCAGATCCCAGAAATACTAATTTAAAATTACCTCCATCGTGAACTGATTTTTCTAACTCGTTGTCAGAAGCCAGTTCTTGATACAGGAGATCAGGGTTATCTCCTGATAAAAAAAAATAATTAATATTGTATCCTGGCGTATTAGAGAATGATATT